AAGCCAGTTTTTCCAGCACCATTTATAAAAGAGATTATCTTTTTTCCAGTGACTATGTTTGGCTCCTTTGTCAATGATAAGGAGGCCGAGTATGTCTGGAGTTGTTTCTACATCTTCTAGTCTGCTCCACTGATCTTCAGGTCTGTTTTTTTGCCAGTACCATGCTGTGTTTTAATCACAGTAGCTTGATAGTATAATTTCAAGTCAGGGACTGTGGTGTCCCCTGCCTTGCCTTTGTTGTCCAGAGCTGCCTTTGGTATTTTAGGTCTCTTCTGCTTCCAAATGAATTTTAGGATCCTTTCCTCTAATCCTGTCAGATATGTTGTTGGAATTTTGATTGGAACTGCATTAAATCTCTTTAACGGTTTTGTAAATATGTCCATTTTCACTACATTTGTTCTTGCTACCAAGAGCAAGGGATATCTTTCTATTTTCTGATTTCCTCTTCAATCTCCTTTTGCAGTTTTCAATATAGAAAGGGTCTTTTACATCCATTAGATTGATTCCTAGGTACTTCATGTTTTGGATGCTACTGTGAAAAGTGTTTCCCTAATTTCTCTCTCCGTGAGTTTGTCATTTGTGTACAAGAAAGCTATTGATTTTCTAGTTCAACAGAAATTTTTACTTTGACTTCTACCTAACTTACTCTCTGTCCTCACTTGGGAATAAAAAGTTATGGCTGTTCAGTTCTTCTACAGGTCAACCTAGATCTTCATATCTTGACCATATTTGATTTTAAAAGGGTCATTTTTTTTTTTCCTGTTACTGAACTAAGGGTATATATTTTAAGAGCTTTTAACTGTAGCTCAGTGGTAAAGCACTTGCCTAGTATGCATAAGGCCCTGGTCTTGACCCCCAGCACTGTAAAATAAATAAAAAAGGAGCCATAACCTTTGTATTCCGTGGCAATATAAAATTACTTCTAGATTGAGCATACTGACTAAATCAGCTAGGTCAAAAAACTCTCTTCTTATTCTACAGATGAAAAGTAGGCATCTTTAATGAGTACAACAATCAAGTGGTACAGATAATGCAAAATGAGAGAGTATGCCAGTTGAATACAGGCAGATCTGATATTGTCATTATCAAAATTTCAAAAGTATTAGGTATAGTCCAAAGACTTCACAAAGAATAAATTATCCAGTTTCTGAGACTTATCATTTAATATTACTTCAAAGGAAATTATGTATTTCTGGGGCATTAAATAGGATACCTTGAATAATACTGATTAAAAATAAACAATAAGAGGGGTGGGAATATAGCTCAGTGGAAAAGTGCCTGCCTGGCAAGCGCAAAGTCCACAGGTCAATTCCCAGTACCAAAAAAAAAAACAACAACAACAAAAAAAAACAATGAGCAATAAGAATAGCATAAGCAACCTTGGGAAACAAATGAAAGGCAGGAGGCATCACAATTCCTGACTTGAAATTATATTACAAAGCTACTGTGATAAAATTAGCATGGCACTGGCACAAAAACAGACCTGAAGATCAATGGAACAGATTAGAAGATACAGATACAACTACAAACACACT